GGGCTGGTGACACAGGGACCCCTCGCCCAGCGCTGGGATGCGGCTGGCTCTGGGGTGGGGGACTGGTTACTGGGTGTGACGGACCGCTGTGGGCACAGCTGAGGGCGTCTGCTCAGGGAGAATTGCTCAAATTTGGGGCTCCTTACAGCCCCTAGACTGGAGACCTTCCCAAATAGGCCACAAACCAGTCCCACAGAGCGCTTCAGCTGCCTGCCTGCTGTGGGCACAGCTGAGGGCGTCTGCTCAGGGAGAATTGCTCAAATTTGGGGCTCCTTACAGCCCCTAGACTGGAGACCTTCCCAAATAGGCCACAAACCAGTCCCACAGAGCGCTTCAGCTGCCTGCCTGAAGCCTCACGAGCAAAACCCCTCCCACATCCCAGCAATATCCGTGCCCCAGATGGCCCCGGGCCTCAAACACAGGTGGGGGGTCCTAGCACCCAATCCCACCTACCCTGAACAAGTTCTATCCTGTTCCAAGAAACCAGCCACAGATCCCTGGTCAATTTACCCTCTGGACCTTACCCACAAATCACGCTGGGCCAATCCTTTAGCATCTAACAACTAAAGGTTTATTACTACAAGAAAGTAAATCATGAGAGTGAGGTTGTTAAAGTATCACACGTTACATGCACCGAATCTCCCAGTTCTCGGTGCAGGCTCTAGCAGAGATGTTACAGCTGCTGGCTTAACAGTCCTTGGTGCACATCCTATGCCAGGATGGGTCCACAGTTCTTCCCGGCTCCTGATTCCCTGTGAGGCCGCACCTGGGGTCAGGAGCAGATCTGAAGACCAAGATGGAGTCAGCCACATGGCATCTTTCTACCTCCTTCCTGCTCTCTTCTTGGCTGCAGCAGGTCACCTGGCCAGCGGCCTATCCCTGTATCCCCTGCTGGTAGCCCTTAGGTGTCAGTCACTGTTCTTGAGGTGTGTCCTTGGCCTATAGAGGGCTATCGAGGGCTGTTCTTCCATAGAGACTTGCTCATTAGCACGTCCATAGGCAGACATTCCTGGCCCATTACTCAACCACATATAGAGAAATATTCAGTATCCACACAAAGTACGTGCTGCTACCTTCACACACAGACATCACACAATCACATGAATAGCATATCGAGACTCAGAAGAAAGTAAGCTTCTATTTGACACCTCACATGGCCCCCTTCGTGCCACTTTTGGTGTGAACACCCCCCCCCCCCCCCGG